AACCAACAGGACAAGGATAGTTGACAAATCTACAAAGAGGGACAAGATAGGGTAATACACTTTTCTCAGTAATTAAGAATCAATCTGACAGTTAAAATAAGCAAAATCATCAAAAATGTAGAAGATTTAACAATATAAATAAGCTTGAGCTAATGGACAAATATAGAACACTGCTCATATAACAGCAGAATAGTCATTCTTTCAATCAAAAAGTAAATTATTTATGTGAGCTTGGTACAAAAAGTAAGCAAAACAAACTTCAAAGGATTGGTAATATAAAGACCGTGTGTGTGTGTGTACACATATATGTGTGTATATATATATATTTTTTTCCACACTGTTATCAAAGTGGAAATCAATAGTGAAATATAACAGGAAAATCACATTAGAATTTGAAACAACTTCTATGAACTCAAAGAAAATGCATAAAATATTTGAGGAAAAAAAATAGGAAAATGCTATATATACCAAAATTTGGGAAACAAAACTAAATAATGAGAGGCAAATTTTAACCTTAAGTATTAATGTTAGGGAACAGAAAAGACTGAAAATTAGTACAATAAATAGCCATTTCAAAAAATTAGAAACAGGAAAAAGAAACCAAAAGTTAAAAAAGAATTAGTAAGGAAGATAGTAGAAATTAATAAAATAGAAAACAATTATATAAGACAGAAACAACTGCAAAAGTTAATACATTGAAAAAAGATTAATAGCCCTGGCCGGTTTGGCTCAGCGGTTAGAGCGTCCGCCTGCGGTCCGGAGAGACCTGGATTCAGTTCCCGCTAAGGGCATGTACCTCGGTTGCAGTTTGTCCCTGGCCCTGGTTGGTCGTGCGGGTGGCAGCCACTCGATGTGTCCCTTTCACGTCGATGTTTGCCTCTCTCTCTCTCTCTTCTCTCTCCCTCCCACTCTGTCTGTACAAAAGATGGAAAAATGTCCTCGCGTGAGGATAAAAAAAAAAGACTAATAAAACGGACAAATCATTTTTTTCAAATTAAGATAAAAATTAATAAAAAGGGAAATACAACTACCAAAGACATTTAGATAACATATATTATATATGACGGAACATAATATAAGTATAATAAACTTACACAAAGCCAATAACATTAACTAGGAAAAATGGAAATTTTTAGAAAAGTATAAATTACCATAATGATTCACTTAACGTGATCTATCAGCAGCACCAGGTACAGATTAGAGTACTCCCTCCTCCTCAAATCATTCAAAGCAGTAGATCCTTGCTTTTGCCTCTGTTCTCTTACAGTCCATTTTTTTACACAGCAACCTGAATGCCACTCCTCTGCTCAAATCCTGGTGGCTTCACATCTTATTCGAAACAGATGCAAAGGCTTTACAATGGCCTACAAGGCCCTATGAGCTAGCTGTCCTGATATTTTCAGACATTACTTTTACTATTCTCCTGTTCACTGTAATCCAGTCATACTTGGTACCAGTGCCGAGTCTTAGAATTTGCAGATTCCTCTACTTGAAGTGCTGTTTCTCCAAATATCTCCATGCTCATTCCCTTGTCTCCTCCTTCAAGTCTTGGCTCAAATACTATTTTCTCAGTGAGAACTTTCCTGGCCATCCTATTCAATACTGTAAACTCCACCCTGGCACTCCCCATCCTCCTTTCCTGCTTCATTATTCCATGTACACTTATCATTATCTAACATAAAATATATTTGACCTACTTATTTTTCTGTCCCAACCCCTAACCATAAATTCCATGAGGGCAGAATGCTGTATTCCCCAATGTACAGGTACTCAATAAATATCTGAAAAATGACTGCATAAATGCATGCCAGAGATTATTCTATCTACCATTCCACTCAATGAGTATGGTTAATTAATGTACTTATTCTATAGCAATAACAATTTCAATAACTATTAGTGAACTAGTTTGTGTCTGGTACTCTCAAGGCCATGTGGACACAAGTAGAATAAAGTGACCACAATGTAACTATATTGAGTTTAGGGAAAGGAAAACCTCCCCTTGTGCCAGACTTGGAAATAGAACTCTGGTTAATGGTCACTGTTTACCTATTAGAGCTAGAAGTTTATCTCTTAAAATAACTAAGAAAACAACTGGGCCTTGGTGATTCATAGTAGAAAGTCAAGAGTGTTTAAAACCTGCAGCCATCAACAGGATTTTAGAATTTAATACTCCCTCTGTATTTTATATATAACTGGCTTAGTGTATTTGATTTAGTTTCAATATTTAAGAAACCACTGCGATCAATCAACAGGTCAAGGCTAACCCAGGAGTACCTCTGGCAATTTTTAAAATTTAGATATAATTCACATATTATATAATCTACCATTTTAAAATATACAATTTAATTTTCTTTTTTATTGTGGTAAAATATATATTATATCAAACTTTTCATTTTAAACATTTTAAGGTATACAGTTGAAAGAATATATATGTATCAACAATGGTTTCTAATATATTTACAGGACTGTATAAATATCACCATCATATAATTCCAGAATTTTTCATCACCCCAAAAAGGAGCCTATACCTGTTAAGAAGTCATTCCCCATTTCTCTCCTCCCCTTATAACCCAGCAACCACTAATCTATTTTGTCTCTATGGATCTGCCTATTCTGAATATTTTACATAAATGGAATTATAGACTACAGTCTTTATTTTTTTCCCTTTATTGATTATAGTGAGAGAGAAAGTGAGACGGAGAGAGAGATAGAAACATTGATGAGAGAGAACATCAACTGGCCACCGCCTGCATGCCTTCTACTGGGGATCGGTCCCACAACCTGGGCATGTGTCCTGACCAGGAATCAAACCAGCGACTTCTTGGTGCATGGGTCAATGCTCAACTACTGAGCCACACCGGCTGGACTAGACTGTCGTCTTTTGTGTATGGCTTCTTTCACCAAGCATAATGTTTTCAAGGTCCATCCAAACAGCAGGATCTATCAGAACTTCATTCCTCTTTATGGCTAAATAATATGCCATTGTATAAATATATCAAATGTTGTTTAATGATGGACTTTTGAGTTGTTTACAATTGTTCACCATTAAGATTAGGAAAAAGATAATTTTGTCCAAATAAGTAAATATTCTCTAGAGCAGTAACCAGATATAAGAATATTAGTATTCAAAATTCTATTTTGGCAGATAGATACTGCCAAATAGGATATACTGCTTACACTCCCACAAATAGTGCATGACAAGATTAACTTCTCTATACCTACATATTACTGAATTTTAGTTTTAAATTTTTCTAAGCAGCAAGGGAAAAATTCTTTATTTTGATTCCCTTGATAACTAATGTGGTATAGCCTCTTCTATTAAAAAAAATTAACAGGCAATTATTTCATCTCAATTTGAGTAATTTATACCAAACAGCACCATTACTATAAGTTGAATTCTCATATACATTTAGCTCTGTCCCTATTTTCTCCATTCTACTCCTTTAATTTTCCACACCAATATCATGCTAGCAACAGCTTTATAGTATATTTTAGCATCTGGTAAATAAACGTCTTATTCATGATTCTGCTTTTTCAAAATCTCCTTGAGTTTTCTGGCACATTGATTCTTCTAGATGAACTTTAGAATCAATCTGTAAACTTACCTGTTGAGACTATGATTGGAATTCTATCATTTATATATGACTGACATATTAATAATGATATTAAATTTATGTTTCTAGGAACATAATATGTTTCAACATTTATTCAGGTCTTGGTTTTGTATTCTTCAGTAAAATACTATCATTATATATCAATAAGTATAATCTAGTTTTTTTTTACTTCCACGTGTGCTTACTTCCCATCTCTACATAAATGAAAAATTTTCTATTTTGAGTAAAAAGATCATTTCCTCATATCCTATATAATGATAGGACTATGAGATAGTCTTTAAGAGCTATTTCAGCTAAAAAATTCCATGATTTTCTATAAACATAAAAAAACCCCACACTCTAAAAATCATCTAAATTATACGCATATTCATGTATAAAAGACTGAAAGTATATACACCAAGATAGTTCACTGACTGCATCTTTTTTGGGAGGGTGGCGAAGGACTCGAGTCTATTGAAGGCTTCCAACTTCTGGGGAAAAGCTTGGAAGATAAATTGCCATTAATTTCAATTCTTTTTTTTCATTGAATTTATTGGGGTTACATTGGTTAATAAAATTGTATAGGTTTAAGGTATACAAGTCTATAATACATCATCTGAAAAGGTGAAGGGATTAAGCAAAAGAAAGCAACAACAATGAAAACAAAACAAACAAACAAAAATCTCATGCACAGACAATAGTATGGTCATTACCAACAGGAAATGGGGTGGGGAGGCAGGAGAGGGTAAAGGAGGGCTAAATGGTGATGGAAAGAGACATGACTTGGGGTGGTGATCAACTGGTTTCATCTTGAATTCTAACTCTGATCTCACATCAGCAATGGCTGCCAAGAGTGGTAAACTGATATTATCTATGCTCGAGGAAAAAGAATACCATAATGAATTATCAATCTCTGCCATGAAGGAAGATATGGAAAATGGTGACTTAGGCGCCAAGTACTTGCCATACATGAGATTCACCAAATTATCAACAGTGGTTATTTCTAGAAGCAAAATTATATCAAGGCCTTCATTTTCAACTTTATACACTTCTATATTATTTGCATTTTTAATAAGCAAGTATTACTTTCAAAGTCAGCATGTACACACAGTATCTTAATATGTAAAAAATACTGCAACTTTATAATGAACATTTAACAGTGGTATATTCCTACTTCATTATCTCCCATAAACTTATAATTTCCTTAATAATTTTTTCAAAAGAAAATTCTAACAGTTTAGGTTTTAAAGATGCATTAAAAACGCTATCTGGATTAAGTATTCTTGAATTATTTCCAATATTTATGTCACATTATATTATTATTCTTTTCTAAAGTCATCAGGAAAGCATGAACATAAACTAAGTAATTATAAGAAAAAAAGTACTTTCAGCACTTTTAACACTTACAGTTCAATTTCAACCATGCCTTTGGAACATCCTCTCTTCACAAAAAAGCCAACCTAAGAAATAAAAAACAAAACAAAAAAATACACAAAGTGAGCTGTGTGATGAGATTCCCAAGTTAGGAGAATTAGAAATGTCATTATTATTTGTCAGAGCAAGATTCACTCAATATCTACTCTGTATGCAAGGCCCCTTCACTATTTCCATCCACAAAAAAGCAGTAATAATATTAGTTATCATTTATTGAACCTTTTACATGCCAGATGGCCTCTCTTTAAAAAGCTCCTTAACACAGCCAGTTAAGTGGTATAGAACAAGGACCTAAACCCAGGTAATCTGGCTCCAGAGCCCGTCCTCTTAGCCAATATACCAAACACTTTCTCACAGAGAAGAAAGCAAGCCAGTGGGAAATGAGTTCTAGAGAATAATCACAAAGAGATATATACCCAGTCTCCTTATCACCATTGGAAACTTCAAAGAAGTTACACTGATTAAATATTATTAACAACTACTGGAATATTATTCATCATGTTATTAATCAAGGCATAAATGTTACCGAGTATTTTTTTTTTAAGAGCAATACAGAGTAAATACAATTTAAGTAAATATAATTTACATAGTAAGACTATTTGAGTTAGTTTCTAAATGTATATAACATAAGCAAAAAAACAGATCCTGGGCCTAAAAAAAATCAGATTGGACCTTAAATCAGGCTATAAGACACCTTGCAAATAATGATCTTTTTAATAGTAGTAACACAGTGATGACAATTATAGCCACAACTACTAACATGTATTAAGCATTACTATATGCTGCTATGCTAAACGCCTTATATATAGTAATACTCACAAGCAACCTTATGAGGTATATATTATATCCATTTTATAAATGATGAAACAGTCCCAGAAAGATGGAAATGAAAACATGTTCACCCTGGCCAGTGTGGCTCAGTTGATTGGAGCATCATCCGGTGCACTGAAGGGTCGAGGAGTTCGATTCCTGGTTGGGGCACATCCCCAGGTTGCAGGTTCAATCCTCAGTCAGGGGGCATACGGGAGTCAACCAATCAGGCCCCCTCCCCCTCAAAATCAATAGGAGCAGATCCTCAGGTGAGAATTAAAAATAAGCCCTGCCTGGTTTGGCTCACCGATTAGAGCATCGGACTGCGGACTGGAGAGTCCCTGGTCCAGTTCCCGCTAAGGGCATGTACCTCAGTTGCAGTTTGTCCTCACCCCAGTTGGGGTCATGTGGGTGGCAACTAGTCGATGAGTCTCTCTCACGTGGCTGTTTCTCTCTCTCTCTCTCTCTCTCCCACTCTATCTGAATATAAATGCAAAAATGTCGAGTGAGGATAAAATAAATAAATAAATAATAATAATAAAGCCTGTTCCTGTAACCAGAAAGTACAGCTTAATGATTAAGAGTTCAGGCTTTAACATATGCTATCCAGGTTCAAATCTTAACTCAATCATAGATAAGTTGCATAACCCTGAGAAAAGCAAAAACTTAACCTCTCTGTTTTAGTTTCTTCATAAATAGAAAACACAATGGCATTTTTGTAGGCATGCCATCTGTATTAGCTTGCAGCAATGAAAATACTTGGCACCGATCAGAAGAAAAAAAATCAGGAGGCAGTTTTTATTGTAAAAAATATATATATATATTATATATATATACATATATATATATAATATATATAGAGAGATCTCTCTCTATATATGAGAATGATACCTAACATGCCAATGTTAAATTTTTATATTAGCATTTAAACATAAATAAAACATTTAAAATATTTTTGCTGAGAAAAGTGAGCAGTTTCTGAATACATCTATGGATACCCAAAAGTGTGCAATTTGTCATCTAAGAAACTGCATTCCACAGCCTCCTTAAAACCCCCTATGACAAAAATGTATAAGGCTGGTGAAAATTGTTACATCCCAATCTATTCTTACTAAACACCCCTGGAGTGCAAACCAGCAGACCACTACACAGAGATACGCATTTAATAAATAATAATGACAAAAAATATACATTTTTATAAAATTCTGAGTTGGTCCTTGGAAGTTATCTACTCCACCCCTGTTATCTTTGAACTAAAGAAAAAGGAGGTCCAGACAACTAAGGTCACAAGGCTAATTACTAACAGAATGATATTGTTTCTACTTCATAAATGCCTCTCATATAGCATTAAAACACAAACATACACATTTTGAATAGGTCTATTTATAATCTTAAAAAATATTATGCCTCAATCTTGTAACCCTACATTATATTTTAAGCCTGGCTAAACTTGGAATACTATTTTGATAATATTGTAATATTTACAATAATTTTGGAAAAATATAGAAAATCTTTTCAAGTTTTAAGAATATTTTACAGTGGGGTAACAATTTAACTTTCAGACTTTCTTTTTAAAAGACGTCTCTATGTGAAAAACATATGAAATAGTATATATAAACTTCAGGTACTATTTAAGAAATAAAACCATGTATCTACAGCCAATTTAAGGAATTTAACATTATCAGTATACCTTACATTCCTTGCATAACTCACAATTGCATTTTTCTCTCTCAACAAATATAATCTTTAAGCTGATTTGTTGATCATTCTTTCACTTTTCTTTAGTTTTACTAGATACTTCTCTAAATATTAAATATATGTTTTTGACCATTCTATTAACAGCCTCTTATTACATATTTTCTTCCACGGTTATATTTTTCCTTAAAATTAGTGTTTTGAGATTTAACCAATTAGCTAAAATTTATTTTCAGTCATATAGTATTTCAATTTGAGCATACTAGAATTTACTGTGAACAATACTGTTATAAATATTTCCATAATTTTGCCTCGTATAAATATACAAGAGTTTACTAAGGTATCCAGGAACAGAATTTCTGAGTGACTACGTATATGCAGCTATAGACTTACTAGGTAATGACACATCATTTTCTCTCTCTCTTTTTTTTTTTTGTTATCCTCACCTGAGGACATTTTTTCTTTTTTGTTCAGGTAGAGTGGGAGGGAGAGAGAGGAACAGAGAGAGAGAGAGAAACATCGATATGAAAGGAACACATTGAGTGGCTGCCACCCACACGACCGACCAGGGCCGGGGACAAACTGCAACCGAGGTACATGCCCTTAGCGGGAACCGAACCCGGGTCTCTCCGGACCGCAGGCCAACGCTCTAACCGCTGAGCCAAACCGGCCAGGGCTGACACATCATTTTCTAAGGAGGCGGCACAAACTTATATTCCCACCAAGATTACATCAGAGTTCCCAGTGTTCCATATCCTTGTAAGCACATGGCACTGCCAGAATTTTTGTGAATCTGATGGATATACCATGCCAGGGTGAATTTGCATTTCTCTGACAATTAAAGAAGTTGAGAATGTTTTCATATATTTATTGCAAGTTTCAGCTGCTGCTTCTGTGAGATGTCTGAGCATATCTTTTCCTCACTTTTCTTCTGAGTTGTTACTGCTTTGCTTATAACATAGTCTAGACACCAATTTTTTGTTATATATGTTATATACAGTCTCCCAATTTGTGGCTTATCGTCTTCTACATGGTATCTTTTGGTAAAGAAAAATTTCTTAATTTTATTTTGGTTGAATTTATCAGTTTTCCTTTTCTATCTTTATTTTTATTTAAAATTTTTTCTTCAACCCAAAGTCAAAAGGTATTCCCCTCTATTACTAACATCTTCTAAAAACTTCTGGTAAATCACATTACATCTTCAATTCACCTTACATTGATTTTTGTTAAAGAGTGAGGACAGGACTCAATTTCTTTTTTTCCTATTTGGATACCAGTTGTCTTGCTACTATTTATCCCCACTCATCGACAATGTCAGTTCTATCATAAATCAAGAGTTTACTAATCATGGTTTTATACCTGGGCTTTTCATTCTGTCACATCACACTGGTTTATTTTATATTCCTACACCAATAGCACGTGTCTTAAATTACTGTAACTCCCTATTAAGTCTTGGTATCTGGTAGAAAGAGTTTCCTCATTGTTCTTTTTTTCTTTTTTAGGAGTATCTAAGCTCTTCTTTGGTCTTTCGTTCTTCCATCTCAATTTTAGAACCAGCTTGTAATTTGCTATAAACAGTATTGAGATTTTGACTGGAATGACATGGGATGCAGCTCAATGTGAAGAACAAATATATTAATTAGATCTTCCTGTGTATTAATATACTGATTCTATCCATTTAATCAAACTTTAAAGTTTTTATCTATTTATTTACTGATTGAATTTTTTAGAGAGAAGAGACAGACAGACAGAGAGAGAAAGACAGACAGACATCAATTTTTGGTTCCACTTATTTATGCATTTATTGATTGATTCCTGCATGTGCCCTGATAGGAGATCGAACCCGAAACCTTGGTGTTTTGTGACAAAGCTCAAATCAACTAAGTTATTCAGCCAGGAATAACTTTAAAGTTTTTAAATAAAATTTTATAATTTCTGCATATAGGTTGTACATGTTTTTAATTTATTGCTATATAACTACTTTTGTGGCTACTGTAAATGGTATTTATTTTTAATTGCATTTTTCTGTTGTTAAGTGTACAGATATACAAATGATTTTTGCTATATAATCTTATATCTAGCAATCCTGGTAAAATTCCATATTAATTCATCAGAAAACTTATATAGAGTTTCTTTTGTGGTTTTTTTATGCAGATACTCTTATGACCTGTGAATGAGTTTTCTGTCTTTCCAATTTGTATCTTTTCTTTGCCAGAACTTCCAGTACAATGTTGAATAGCCATGATAGTAGGTAACCTTGACTTATTGCCAAATATGCTATGCATTTATATAGATGTCTTTTATGAAATTAAGAAAGATCCCATCTATTCCTAGTTTGCTAAAAGTTTTAAAATCATTAATTAGTATGAAGTTTAACTGAATACTTTTCTCTACCTATTGAGATGATCATGCAGTTCTTTAAAACATGATATATATTGTGTTAATTTTTTCTAATGTACAATCAATCTCCTATGCCTTAAATAAATTCAATTTGGTCATGATGTATTATGCATTTTATGTATTAGATTCAGCAGGCTAAAGTTTCCTTCCTTTTTTTTTTATTTTTGAGATTTCTGCTTCTATATTCATAAGTGAGACATGCTTGTAATTTTCTCCTTGTTTCCTTGACTGAATTTGGTACCTAGAGTCATATTCTCTATGTAAAATAAGAAATTATTACCGTTGAACTAATCCATAATTGTCTGGTGTTCTGAGAGAAATGTAAGAGCTGATTTATTTTTTCTAGTAAAAGAGTTTTGATAATTTCTATAGTTGCAGAAAGCTATATATTCACTTTTTAAAAAATGTTAAATTTATTGGCATAGAACTGTTCATAATATTCTCTCATAATCTTTTTAATTCTGCTGCATTCTGGTAATTCCCTAGTAGTAATCATCAGGACAGTTTATGAATATTCTAGTTCTCCTTCAAGCCCATGGCAGAATTGTATTTGCTCATTTTCTCTGATGCAAGGTATGGCTTTTCGACTTACTTTGTCTAATGACATTTGATTGGAACAAATATATGTTACTTTTTGAAGGAAATTTTAACAGCCAATTTTCTTCTCTGATGTGGCAATCATGAATAAATTGAAATGACTACATTAGCATAGGTACCTAAGTGACCACAAAGGGCCTACAATAGATATGTAGTAAGAGCAAGAATTAATCTTTCGTATTTTCAAACCAATTAAATATGGGGGTTGTTTGAATCACGATATAACACTTATTACTTTTTCTTCATTCCTTTATTTTTTGTTCTTTACCCACCCTTCCACTTTATTTTCTCAGAAGTTAACTGATTTCATTAGTCTTTATTAGAGCAGTTTTTGGTTTGTGGTACTTATTATATCATTGTTAATTATTTTATTAATTTCTGCTCTTATTTTTCAATTTCCACTAAGATTTCTTCTTTTTCCTGAGTATAGTACAAAATTATTTTTTTTATTCCAAACCAAGAAAAATTTTAGTTATCTTTTTGTTATTCTTTCTCTCTTAATAGCATTGTGGTAAGATAATATAATGTAGTAAAAATTCTTTGGTATTTTTTATATTTGCTTTATGTTTTATTATATGGTTTTTAGAAATGTTTCATTTGCACTTAAAAAGAATGTTTGCTCTCCTGTTGTTGTGTACAGTGTTTACAACACATCCATTTGTTCAAGCTTGATTGTTGACCTTATATACAGGGATACATCGTTTTGTTAATCTTCACCCAAGAATATTCTATTTATTTTTTAGATAGAGTAGAAGGGGGGAAGGGAGAGAGAGAGAGAGAAAGAAACATCAATGTGAGAGAGACACACAGACTGTCCGCCTCCCATACAACCCCAACCAGGGCCGGGACTGAATGTGCAACCCAGGTACACGCCCCCAATGGGGAATCAAACCCAAGACCCTTTGGTCCACTGGCTGATGCTCTAACAACTAAGAAAAGGCAAAACCAGCCAGTGCAGGATACTTCATTTTATAACACTTTGCAGGTATTGCCTTTTTTTTTGTTTTTTTTAACAAATTGAAGTTATGTGGCAACCCTGTGTTGAGCAAGTCTGTCAATGCCCAAAAGACTGATTTACTAAAGGCTCAGCTGCTGGTTAGCACTTTTTAGTAATAAAATATTTTTTGATTAAGGTATGTACATTGTTTTTTTTGGACATAATGCTATATACTACAGTATAACATAAACATCATTTTATATATGCACTGGGATACCAAAAAATATTGTAGTGGTGAACTTACAGTAATCTCTGAGGTATACCTGTATTCTTACTAATTTTTTATCTGATTAATCTATTGATTATTAACAGCCCTCCCACTGTGATTATGCATCTGTTAACTTCTCATTTAGAGTTCTGAGTATGCTTATATGTTTTGGGGCTAGATTATTTGAATTCAAGTTGAGGACTGAACCTTTTATCAATATTTAATAACCAACTTTATCACTAAAGTACTTTTTACTTTAAAGTCTATTTTGCCTGGTACTGATTCAGCTATACCTTTCTTTTGTATAATATTTGACCAGTATGCATTTTTAATCCTTTCACTTTCAGCTTTTTATTCTACATATGCATATTATAAACAAAACAGAACTGAACTTTGTTCTATTTACCTACACTACACAGACTTTCTCATTTAACAAGAATTTAGACCATCTATATTACAGTACTTATATTTGCATGTTTTTATACCTTATTTTATGTTTTTTAATAATCTCATTTTTCGTATTTGTTTCTTTTCTCCTCCACTACTCTCAAGACTTTTCTGGCTTACTTGGGCAGTGACTTTTTTCTCCTCTTTCTCATTCTACTTCTTTACCTTTCTTGTATGGGGGATTTCTGAATTTCAACTGTTTTAGTGGTTTACCTCAGAAATTTTAACAGGCATATTTAACTTAATAAATTGTGAAAATCAATGATCTTAAATTCTTCCCAATAATACAGATCCACAGAGTATTTTAACTCCAGTTGTCCAGAAAGGACAACAGCTTTATCTTGTTTGCTTTAAATTTTACAAGTTAGATATTAGTGTTAATTTATAGTTTGTATTAAAATTCCTTACATGTTTATCATTTCTTTGCTCACCATTTCTTCTTATATCTCAGACTTTCTTCTGGGACCACATTCCTTCTTCCTAACTTATATACCTTCAAAGTTTCTTTAGTGAGAAACCTTATTTTTTTTTTCCTTTGTCTCATCACTCTGAGAACATATTACTACTGTGTTTGATATTCTGTAATTTACTATAATGTGTCTACTTGTGTATTTCTTTCTGGAAAATTCTTAGCCATCGTTCTCCAAATATTGCCTCTTCTTTAGTCTATATTACCTCTCTTTGGAGATACTTAAAAAAATATTATCATCCTTTACCTATCATGCCTCAACCTTGATTTTATTTTTTTTCTTTATCTTTATATTGCATTTAAAAAAAATTTTCAAGTACTTTAATTTACAAATTCTCTTCTCAAATGTGTCTGCTTTGTTGTTTTACCCATCTATAAAGTTTCTCTCTTCAATTAATATATTTTTAAGTTCTATTTGATTCTTTTTCTAATTTACCTAACCTTTTTGTTATTTATTCCTTTGTTACTCTCGCAACCTTTTTTTTTTCCTTAAAGTAAATATTCATAGTTTATACTGTCTATTTACAAGCTTTGTAGGTCTGACTGTATCGTCTGCTGTTTTTGTTAGCTCTTATTTTTGGTGATTCATTTCCCCCTATGTTTTGTGATTTTTATTATGAATTAATGAATTTCTTAGGTCTTTATGTTTGGATTTTTTTAAAGATAGGCTGAGGCTATTTTCCTTAATAGGATTTGCATTTACTTCTGCCAATGCCTGGAGATATTACTTACTGGGACCACTCTAAACTAAAATTATAATTTATGATATTTAGGCCATAGAATAATATGAATCTTGGCCCCAAATATTTGTTAAGGCTTGTGGTTCAGAATTCTTAAGAGTTTATTTTTTTCTCTACTGTATTCAGAGTTAACAATGAGATGAGCAAGGAACCCCACTGTCCCATTCTGAGATGCCATTTTCTGTGCTACAACAGTACCTGGCTTCTAGATTTATCTTCCAAGCCCTTCCCCAAAACCTTTAGGGCCCCCTATCCCATGGAACTAATTCAAAGCCAGGCTTTAAGGTACAAGATAAGCAAATGCCCCTAGGACCTAGAGAAACAACTCCAGAGCTTGCTTAAATTTTCAGATCCACATTATTTTGTTTCTGCCATTGGTAATACATTTACTTCACCTTTCCACAAGCTCAGCAATACATTAAAAAAAATGTTTTTTTTACACTATCTAAGAATTTTAAGTATTAGGTACTTGGAGAATTCTCTTTACATACAGCCCAAAATACTCTTAGAAATGGAAATCTCCTCCCAGCTTCTCTACCTGCCAACTTTATTCTTTATATTCAAACACTACACTTTTGCGTATTATATCCAAGGAACTAAAATGTAGAAATTGATTTCTTACTAAAGCAAGTCACCACTTTGAATTTCTTTTTAAAAAGTACTTATGTTAACTCACCTTATCTGCCCGTCCCATGAAAGCAGGTTTGCCTGCTAATCCAAGGCAAATGGCACACACAATGCTGGACTTCCCCGTTCCATTAGCTCCAATAATCATATTCAAGTGGGGTCCAGGACATACTTCACAGATATCATAAGTTCTGAATTATAAAGAGGTGAAATTACTAAGCAGAGAAGTGAAAGATATTTTCTTTACAAAAGCACTTTTTTCTTGCTTTACATTACCATCATCTACAGGCTTACTCAAATTCCTTTAAAAACCAGCTAATCTTACAAATTTAATGTTATTTATAGGTTGTTAATAAACTAGAGGGGAAAAAAATCTATTAATGGAAAAAATTAAAAAGCCAATCTAAAGAACAATATAAATGAACAAACAAAACAGACTCACAGATACAGAGAACAAACTGATGGTTGCCAGATTGGGGGTTGGGTGGAGAACCAGGTGATAAAGGTGAAGGGAATAAGAAGTATAATTGGTACTTACAGAATAATCAGGGGGATGTAAAGTACAGTATAGGAAATATAGTCAGTAATACTGTAATAACTACGTAATGATGGCAAGTGGGTACTTGAAATACTGGGGACCACTTTGTAAAGTATATAACTGTCTAACCACTATGCCGTATACCTAAAATTAATGCAAAATAATATTGAATGTAATTGAAAAATAAAATTTAAAAACTAAAGTAAAAACATTAGAAAAGTAAGAATTTGTACACTTGTTTCAACTATAATTCTGTTGAATAAAGCAAAGTTTGATATTATTTATTCTTTTTTAACAATAATAATACATGAAGAACATATCAAGGAAACTATACAAATAAAATCATTTTTTATTTTTCTATTTATTTTTTATCCTCACCCAAGGACATTTTTCCATTTCTTATTCAGACAGAGTGGAAGGGAAAGAGAGGGAGAGAGAGAGAAACATCGACGTGAAAGGGACACATCAAGTGGTTGCCACCTGCACGACCCGACCAGGGACAAACTGCAACTGAGGTACGTGCCCTTAGCGGGAACTGAACCCGGGTCTCTCTGGACCGCAGGCTGACGCTCTAACCGCTAAGCCAAACTGGCCAGGGCTAAAATAATTTTTTTAATATTTTATGGCAGAGAAGCCATGGCTCATAATGAAATCTGTATTTTTTTTTCTTTATTGATTTTAGAGAGAGAGGAAGGAAGAGGGAGAGAGAAATATCGATGAGAGAGAACACCATTTGGCTACCTCCTGCATGCTCCCTACTGGGGATTTGGCCCACAACCTGGGCATGTGTCCTGACCAGGAACCGAAGGGGCGACCTCTTGATGCATGGGTCAACGCTCAAAGACTGAGCCATACAGATTGGGCTGAAATCTGTAAATTTTACATTTCATTTTTTTAAATTAAAATGCTTAATATTAACTTTTCATATTCTAATATTTAAAGCAATCCAAATTTTTTTATTGTAATTAGAAAACCGAAGATATGTTATCAACCAATGGTTTCATTTTATTATTAATTTTTAAAAATTACATTCATTTCCTTGAATATGCTGTCAGAGATCCACCCAACGATGTATAGTCCATGTACAAATAAATCTATTCCTATGGGAAGAAACAAGAATGCATCAACACCAAGTACTTCTGTATTATTCACTGGCCAGAAAGGTGCATGCTGTCTACCACTCTACCTACAACAATAGCATCTAATCCTTTTTAGTGGCTAGGGACAGCTATGGCAAAATGTGAAGCAAACTCTGACTCAGACCTTTTTCTCGCTTATCTCTGAATACCCTGAATTAAAACCCATAAATAATATCCTGTTCCCCCAGGGTTTCAGTTAGCTGCCTACTAATTTCCCAAGAATAAGTTTTACCTGTTACTAATCTGCTAAATATACAGGGGGGCAAAAGTAGTTTTACAGTTGTTCGTATGGAAAAATAATACAATAATTAATAAATAATAATACAAGAATAAAGTGTTTTGCAAACTCACAACTGTAAACCTATTTTTGCCATACCCTGTATATAAATCATTTACCCAAATACACTTCATCTTTAATACTCAAAGAAATTACATGGCTGGTGTGGCTAAGTGGATTGAGAGTCATCCCATGGATTGAGAGGTCCTGGTTCGACATGCCTGGGTTGCCAGCTCTATCCCCAGTAGGATGCATGCAGGAGGCAGTCAACTGATGTATTGCTCACATCGATGTTTCTCTCTCTCTCTCCCTTCCTTTCTCTCTCTCTAAAAAAAATCAATGAAAACATATTTTTAAAAAATACTCAAAGAAATTAGTACTTCTGAAATGCCAGGTGGTAATAAAAATAAAAACAGGTGGTAAAAAAGAAGTATTTTCTGGCAGGTTTCCAACACCACATCCCTACACAGCATCTATCTACTTTATATTTTCAGATGCTTTGTTCTGTTAGCAGCTGGGTCTTGAAAGAATCCTTTAAAACGGTTAAAATAAAACTAGTTTGGGAACTTCACACATCTGGAAAATTACCTGACTTGGATTTTCTTAATCCCAAAACACAAGTCCCATTCTTTTAACATCTGAATATCCTGCTGTGAAATCTCCACGCAACTGTCTTACTAAAATAGTGATGCAACTTGTATTTAAAAAACAATAAAACCAACAGAAAAAAATATGAGAACTTCTGACCTATACAATACAACATATATTATAAACAGGAAGAGTTGCTAAAAACAAAACAAAGCCTTTGCATTTAAAATAATTAACTGTCTGCCCAGCTGGTGTGGCTCAGTGGACTGACCATCATACCATGGACTGAGAGGTCCCAGTTTGATTCCCAGTCAGGGCACATGTCGGGGTTGCCATTTTTCTACCCAGTAGGGGGCGTGCAGGAGGCAGCTGATTGATATTTCTCTCTCACATCAATGTTTCTCTCTCTCAAAATAAAAATCAATAAAAACATTTTAAAATAAAATAATTAACTGTTCTGACTCTACAATATGTTTATTGGGAATTCCCTTTTGTGAGTTCTCTTTTGTCTAAGCTCCCCTGAAACAGCTATTGTCAAAAGCCCATCCTCTTCTCAGAATATGTATTTTGCCTAATAGCTCATGTATTCTCCATGGCCTCAGATAGCATCTACATGCTGAAAGTCAGCCCAGATGACCTAAATATGAAATTACCACTCAATAACTTTGTTTGGAAGTCCCACAATAGTCACCTCAAACTTAACACATTCGAAACAAAACACACCATCTTTGTCATCCAAAACCACACTGTGATATCCTAGTGAATGGTACTATCATTCAGAAACCTAGGCAGTAGTTTTGAATTGTCTTTGATTCTACCATCTCCTTAACCTCTACCTACAACACCTTTCCATCAATCACCAAATCATGCCGGTAGACATACAAATCTGACATACTTGTTAAAAAAATAAATAAGAAGAAAAAAATAAGATCCTTCATAATTTTGCTCTAACTTCACCTTTTTCTACTTTCTATCTCCTTCCCCTCTTCTCTAATCAGACCTCTAAATTCTACCTATGATGAATTTCTTTTAGTTTCTTGACTATTTTAGGCTTCTTTCCTTCCTCCAAGACTCTGCACATGCTGTTCCTTCTACTTAGAAAACTTACCCTCCAATCCCAACCCCATTTGACTTGGTTCACTCAAAGGAATCCTTCCCTTGACCATTCTCTTCCAGGCCATTTCGGTTCTCTAAGCTTACCTCTCTTATTTTATTCCTAAAACTCAAAAGTTCTGTCACTGTGAAAATAAAACCTCACTTAGCTCTGTGTTTTCCAGCCAGATTTTTTTCTCCTCTTCACATCTAAGTTTACTGCCTCATACTCCTTCATTTGTCTATCACCAAAAGTTTCCTTCTTCTACTGCTTCAGGAAAGAGTCAAAGATTTCCTAATTGCTAAATGCAGTGGGCTTTTTTTTAGTCCTGTTATCTGACTTTAATGTAGCAGATATTATTGAAACACTCTTCTTCCTTGGTTTCTTTTATAATACCCTCCCCACAATTCTTCTCTTACCTCCCTGAACAGTTCCTTCTCAGCCTGTGAATTCCTTTACCGCTCACCCTTAAATGTTGGCATTCCTCCAGGACTCTATACTTGGCCTTCTATTTCTCTTATTTATATTTCCTTTGGGGCAATCTCAACCATTTCTGATTCCCAGATCTCTCACCTGTGCACATTTTCCTGTAAGCTTCAGACACTTAAAATACTACCTAAGGAAGATCTGTTAGATGCCCCACAGGAAACCTGAAGCACGGGATCCAAGAGGCATTTATTATTCTCCCCAAATTGCTCCCTGTTCTGACCGTATCTGACCCATTAGCTAATGCTGCACTTTGCTTTACTCTCATGTTTCACAATAAATCTGAAGCCAGATCCTGTCAAATGTCTTTTCTTTCCACTGCTACTTCCCAGTGCTACTCCTAGGTTCAAATCCTGATCATCTCTTGCCTTCATATTGCAAAAGTCATCTTGCCTCCAATCTTGCACCCTTTCTAATTCATCCTTTACACTACTTCCAGAGTAATATAAATCACACATCATTCTCTACTTACTATGCATCCTGATTGTTTATAGAATGAAGCTGGAATTCCTTAGCACAGTACATACCCTCAAGCAGTTGCCTACCTCTTCAGTACCACCTATGTTCACATATTCTCTCACATCCTATGGTCTACTGAAATACCTGATGCTTCCTAAATATAACGAACTGTTGCAGGCAGTTCCTACTGTCTAGTCCTTATCCCTTCTTTTAAGACTTTTATAAAGTCTGTACAAAGCCCTTTCTCACAGCTGTGGAAGATATTAACCACTGCATCCTTTGTGCCCCCATGGCATCCTGATAATATACATTATCATGGTAGGTAACTCATTTGATGATCTTTCCTGATCTGGATTCAAATAGTAATTCAGCTACTAATAGCTGTGTAAATGTGGGCAAATCAACCTCTGTGAGCTTATCTTATCAACAGAGATAATATAAAGAGTTGCTGTGAAGAAAGAATGACAGCATTGTATAAATAAAGCACCCACTTCTATAACTGGCATTGATAGGTGCTTGAAAAGAAATGTTGTTATTGCAATTGTTTCCCCCTACGTCACTCTGTGCAAGCTTAAAAAAAAAGTCTTGATCAAATGAACTGTAAGGTGCTATACTAACACGGTATTTGTGTTCAAACACATTACCATTCTAAAATGATTATTATGAGTTGTCTGGAGGGAGAGAAAGGGACCAGGGAAGGATCTGTTGGGAGGCCCAACAGCTGGGAGTAAGGCTTAATTTTCTTGTACTTTGCAACCTCCATCCCGTACTATCTCCACCATCCTTATCTGGCAACTGCCACATCACCACCACCACTGTGATTTGAACGTTGCTTCTGTGAGTCCCTAGAGCCCCCCGTTTCGTGAATTGCAGATTATGTCCTTCCTCTGTAGGCAGTGACTTCCCGTGGGCAGAGATCTAATCCCTACTACATCCACTGCCCGGCAAACGACGCTTTCTAAACACGCTGGTGGAATGGATAAAACACAAAACGAAAACAAAAACGCATCACACAAGACACACACCTAGGACACCAACACACCCATCCATCTCCACAGCCTACGGACATCTGTGCCAGTAACCCCGGCACAGACCCACGGCCAGGCTCACAAGCCAGGCACACATTCCCCCAGCCCACCCACGCGCACACAAGCACGCAAGGCCCACTCGCCTCCCCGCCGCCGCGCGGCCTCGGCACTCACAGGAAGTTCTCCATCGCGATGCGGACGATAGAGCCTTCCACAAAAGCTCCGGACGACGGCAGCGGCGGCGCCGAACTCTTTTTCTTGCTCGGGACCTCCGACGAGGGATCTCTCGGGAGAGCTCTCTTGGAGGCCAGGGGGCTTGAGGTAGAGGTCTTCCTGCTCGAAGTCGCCATCCTGGCTTCCCCTCCGCCCCGCAGCGGCTTCCGTTCCCACCGACCGGCGGACCGGCGCCCTGACGTCCCGCTCCCGCGCGAACTGCTTGGTGCGCGACACCGCCAGAGAGCCCGCCCCGCGCCTGCGCAGTCCTGGCCCGGCGGCGTCAGTGGGCACGCCCCCCCGGACCTGGGAGGGCTGCGCGAAGGAGGAGGCGGGTGGGGGTGGGAGGGGATCTGGCTACGGGTATTACCTTCCTACAATTTTCAGGGTTTATTATTATTATTATTAGCATTATCACCTTATTTAGAAAAAGATGGCAATTGCATTTAGTATTTTCAAAACCCTTTTAGCGTTCGGAGGAGCGGATCTGCGAGGGGACGGAGGGAGGCGGTTGCAGTGGGACCTGGTTGGGGGTGGGGGTGCGGAGGACTCCTGCCGGGAACCTCGAAGCCGGCGACTGGTGGTGTGTGGATTCCGCCCAAGTGTGCCGGGACTCTCAGATCATCGGCTCTTCTCTTCTCAGTTTGCTTTCAGACTGGGCCCGTGTCTAAAAAAATGAAAATTTTTCCGAATGGCTCTATGCCCAATAGCTCCTAAGTCATCGTGCTATGTCTCCCGGGCTCTCCAACTTGTGAAAAGACTACACCGCACAGATTCTCCCCGATTTACTCTCCACCCTCTCGCTACCCAAGTCCCTGTTGAGACGTCGTCCTCCCGAGGTTTCTAGTAATGCAGGAAAGAGAAAGCTCTGGCTTCTTTTAGAAGAGGGTGCTTCCACTTAAACCTGCTCACTCCTCTAGTTAACCCCTTCATTAAAGATGAGGGGCACTGAGGCCTTTGTAGATCTTCATTCACTCAACTGACAATGTTTAATCAAGAGGCCTAGGCTGCCGCAGTCAAGGAGCCAGTCAAGGCTGCTGGCTCCTCGCTTACTTGGTGTTGCGGGAGAGCGAAAAAGAACAAGTGAACCAACAAATGAAGGATAATTTCAGGCTATGATAGGTGCTATGAAGAACCTAAAGCAATGAATGTAAGGGGGAGGCATGGAAAGCCTGTCTGAGGAGGTGATGTTTAAGCCTAAAACCTTGAAGGAGAAGGAGCCAAGGCCTAAAGGAGCAAAGATTGTTACAGGCGAGGACAAAAACAAATATGCCAGCAAGTGGGATGTTTGAGGAACAAAGGCCTGTGTGGGTGCAGTGCAGTAAACAAGATTGCATAGCACAGCCTTGCCCATCATAGCACAGCTGAATATTATTTTAAAAACAATGGAAGCCACTGGATAGTTTTAAGCAGGAGAGTGACATGACCCGACTAAAATTTTAAAATGACTTCTCTGGTTGCTCCTTAGGGAGAGTCAAACATGAAAGTGAGGAGGCCATTTAAAAAGCTATTGCCTTAGAACTCTAATGCTCTTTCCCTGGTCTCTGCTTTCTCCTCTCATGCAGATGGTATCTCTTCTGTCTTCGAAGTTATAACTGAAGAAAATAGAAAGTAAAAAGCATGTGAACTTGCCATGGTTACAAGAAAAAAATATTTTTAAGCAAATTAAAACAATAATTTGAAAACTGTCAAATGGCAGAAAATAAAACTACTCTGCTTATAGGAGGGTACAATACTATTGTTAGATAAGACAGAGGTCTCAGGGTCTGGACAGTTTTTATTAGATGCTATTCTTTTTGCTTGTTTGTTTTTTAAATCCTCACCTGAGGACATTCTTGCATTTATCTTCAGGTAGAGCAAGAGGGAGAGAGGGAGGAAGAGAGAGAAACATTGACGTGAGAGACATATCAAGTGGCTGCCACCCACACGACCCCAACCTGAGCCAGGGACAAACTGCAACTGGAGGCACGTGCCCTTAGTGGGAACTGACCCTGGGACTCTGGTCCGTGGGCCGACACTCTAACTGCTGAGCAAGCTGGCCAGGGCTTAGATGCTATTCTTGCTAAATGCTAAAATGTAGCACAGTATTTTGGAGACTCAGCTGTAACTTGATGACCTTGACTTAAAGTTTAGCCAACTGCAAAGAAGAAAACATCTTAATCAAATAGTGTATATAAGCAATGGCTAAACCTCCCTTCTGGGAGATAGAGCTTCGGATATGAATCCCCTGTCTCCTTTACTTGTTGCAAATAAATAAAACCACCTAAGGATCACCACATCTTGTTCTTGAATAGAATACCCCAACCAGGGAACCCCTTGAGTTCAGTAGTACTGTCATTCACTACATTACTAATACAAAACTCATTAAAAATTGTTTTTTTGAAATACCCTACTTCAAGAGTCTTAGAAGAGTTAAATTCTTTGAAGAAATGACTACATTTGGGGGAATCTATCCTAATGGGAAAAAAACATAGGCAGTGGTAATGAGAGTTGAGGGGAGAGAACTAGTCTGGTCATTTTTGTACTACCATCATTTCCATAGTGAATTAATCAAATTGTGTTTATAAACTTGAAAGTTAAGAATGAGCCCCTGAACTTGTGATGACCCCACAAATGTACATACACTATGAGTTCTTGTCTAAACAGCCAGCCAATCACACTCGACCATCATCCTTTAAAAAGGAAAATTTTGCTTCCAGTTACAAAGTGAAACATGCTAAATGGAGATAACTTAGGAACACACAAAAACACACACACAAAGGGTTTTTCATAATTCTTTTACCCAGACAAATCACTGTTAAGATTTTGGTGTATTTTTTGACATCTGTTTTACTTGTATATGTATGGTATTCACCTTTTATTTAGAAAAAAAAATGACACTGCACAAATTATATATACTATTACTTAACCTCCTTTTCTCACTGAATATATTACGAATATTTTTCCATGCCATTAAACATTTTTCTACAACATAATTTTAAGTAACTATATAGATGTACTATAATTGATTTGAATACTTATCTTTTGTTGGACTTCATATAACTGGAAGTTAGCATAAACCAAGGATACTCTGCAGACTATAATGGCTCAGTCCTACCTAACATTCTTTAAAAATTTCATGCATCTATAAAAATATACACATTTATCCTGCCACATCTGGATTCTTGAATTTCACTGATGAAAACTGCATTGCAAAGGGTGGTGGGTAAAGAAACAGAGGGATTAAAGTCTTTAGAAAGATTATCAATTAATCAGAATGTGTTAATGAGTCAGTGAGCCACAATAGCTAATCTGATACTTCTCAGGGTTGAAGGTCCAGTCATCAGCTGAATTCATCACTCCATCCTTTTTTTTTTTTTATCCTCACCCGAGGACACTTTTTCATTCTTTGTTCAGATAGAGCAGGAGGGGGAGAGAGAGAGAGAGAAACATCGATGTGAAAGGGACACATCGAGTGGCTGCCACCCGCACGACCAACCAGGGCCGGGGACAAACTGCAAACAAGGTACATGCCCTTAGCGAGAACCGAACCCGGGTCTCTCCGGACCACAGGCCGACGCTCTAACTGCTGAGCCAAACCGGCAGGGCCATCACTCCATCCTTGCTAGCTAATAGATATGGCACAGTAATTGTATGTAACATTTGACTGACCAAGGAGTAAGTACCAGGGGCCATTTTGAGCAATGGCCTATCATTCTGCAAAAACTTTAAAACTGACACAAACAAAAAGCTGGCAGAAAGGGGCAGGGTCAAGGATTATACATTTCATCTCACCATCATAATACCATCCTCTGTGTTCTCTTTCTTGGCTTCCCTTCAAGCCCTTGATAATGATGCCACAATAGCAAGAAGGTAGGCAAGATGCCTGGATTGGGACTTTGCCGAGACTTCTCTGAGACAGTTTACTATTCTGGTTTTAACAAGAACCCTCACAGGTTAATAGGAATAATCTCCTCTGGTTTATATACTAAGTAAGAGGAAATATTACTTTTGCTTTTGGAAAATTCTTTTAAAAAAAATACCTCAGTTGTTTTAATTTGCATCTCTCTGATGATTAGTGAGCTTTTGGCAAATTCTTAAAGTGGAAAAGTGAACCCTCATGGTTGAAAGAGGGAAAAAGTCAGATGCTAAAACCTGAGTCCTTGGCACTTAGGAACAACCCTTCTTTTCCACACTTTCTAACAGACGTAGTTAAAGAACTCGTGGGGAAGATCTAGGCAGGGATGAGGAGTTCTGAGGGAATCAGCACCCTTCCCCAGGGGACCTAAACCCCCATGGAGCAATCTTCTGCTAGAGATAAGTTGTTTCTAACACCATATTATACAATGAAAACATCTGCTTATTCTTACTGCAGTTATATTAGTATTAGAGTTGGTTGTAGTAATAGCTATAGTATTAGTAGTAATAGCTAATACCAACAGCATTTACCATACATCAGTTACTCTTCTAAGTACTTTTTCATAATTCATTTTAATTTCTGTATCAATGTCTCAACAGTTTTGTCTCTTTCTCAAATTTCCATCTCTTGGATACAAAAACCAACTGAAAGACTAAAAAAAAAGTCATTAAGAATTAATATCAGATTTCAAATGTTCTTTGTGATGTGTCATGATAGAAAGCTTAGAGCTAAACCAGCCTTCATTTCTTTTGAGACTATAAAATGGGAAAACAGAATTAAATTGCTCCAGAAGGAATTTAGCTTTAATTTCCGAAAGAGTATGAACAGGTGCTAAAGCGCTATGTGCGGTTTCCTCTGCAAGTCCTTGCAGAGTGAACTGATAGTCCTTGCCCAAGCTAGGTCAGGAGCATCTGCAGGGAGAACAAGGGTTTCTTCTCACACCCTGTTACTTCTCAAAGGAAAGAAAGTTGGTGATTGTTAGAACTGTGGAGAAACTGTCGAAATTAGCTACATGAATTAGTACATTTGGTCCTGTGGTATCAGTCACCAAGAGTGACATTTCATCTCAGCATCTCAACAAGCAGGGGTGTTGCTGAACTCTCCCATAAACTTGTTGGTTTTAATTTCTCACTTCCACAGCTTTGATAGGTAGTCATACACTCATTTTTAATAATTAAAATTGTATTTTTGTTATTTTAGGAAGCTTGAAAATCCAAAAACAAACAAACAAACAAAAAAGCATAAAACAGAAAGTAATAACCATTCTATAAT